TTTTTTTGTGTGTAATTTTCACTGTACCTCATTCTGGCATTTCCAAAGTTTAACTCTTATCAGCCTGACACCTTAGGGACTATTTCCAGACCCTATCACGCTAACTGTGGATCGATCTATCTCCATGGGAATTCTCGCTAAATTGCAATCAATGTAAGTGGCTTAGTTGTCTGTCACGCCTACTGAAACTGGCATGCCAGAATCCTAAGACTCTCAAACTGAAAGCAATTTAGTGAGAAACCCCTTGGAGTTGGATTGATCCTGTTAGATTGATCTAGGTATGGGAACTTAGTCTAATGCTTGATACACATTTTACTTTCATCCTAATCCAATGTTATGCAGAATAAGAATTTGATGTTGGCTATGCAGTTACAGTAAGCATAATACATTAGTTCATCAGAATTGACATTATCCTATTTCCTGCATTTTTATTTTCTGGTTTTTGTCTGTACATTTGACAGCTTTGCTGCCTTGTTTATTGACTAGCATTTCTCATTTGAATTGTTCAGATTATATCTGCTGGATCTGAGCCATATGTAAACCACTGGTACATCAATGGAGACAGGAGATCCAGGGTGCCTTGTACTCCCACCAGTGTCTGCAATGTAACCATCAATAGTGAGGCAGAGAATAACAAGGTACAGTTTGTCTTTGCATGTTGATTTGATAATTTGGGAGCATTATGAAAATACTGTAAATTGATGTAGACATCATGATGAAGATTTAAAAGTTGAATCTGTAAGCAGTGTGGTAGAATTTACCATACAGGATGTGTAACTGCCATGTTTATATGTATATTGTATTGCAAAATATTTAACCATGTAGATCTGTACATGCATGATCTGTATGAATGGTACTTATATGTTAAAAAGTATTTTTCCTCCATCATGTGTTGATGTTTTTTGTTTGTTTTTTTTCCTAGGTTCTCAGCGTGGTTGGTAGCAGTGCTAAAGTGGACTTGTGTACAAACTTTGGATATAAAGCCTTATCATTAACAGTCTGCTAACACCTGCAGCCTCACAGGAGAAATGTGCATAGAACATCTCAGTAAGCTAGCCACCACAGCCTGGATAACCAGGGGCAAACACTGCCTGGATAACCCACTGGCAGGACAGGCACAGCCAGGATAACCCGCAGGGGCAGGCACTGCCTGGATAACCCACTGGCAGGACAGGCAGAGCCTGGATAACCTGCAGGGGCAGTCTTGTGCCTGGATAACCCATGGTGATGTGAAGGCAGAGGCACAACTTTCACACTCATTGGATATCATTTATTGGATGTTCAAAAGCCTGTGAAAGTTATGGGATGGCATTCCTCCTTTTTAAAACACTTATGTTTGTCATCCCTCTAAAAGGGCTGGAGTCAGTTCAAACACATCTCCTTGAGGCATTCTTCCTGGCCATGAAGTTGGGCAGCAGGAAGACACTAGACTACCTGGGACTATGGAGATCTTTACTAAGTTTACAGAGATTGTCAATTTGACACATGTAATAAGTTTTAAGCAACATCATTTATAAATAATGCAAATTTTGAAGATAATGAATGTCAGTATTACTAATATAAGATACAAATGGGACACTGGCAATGTCAACAGTGAAGACATGGCCAGATAGTTATGCTGCCAGTGAGGTCAAATAATTTAACTACAGAAATTAAGAAAAATATTATTTCTATGACACATCTTGAAAGAGATGTTGTGCTTTCATCAGTGTTAATATGATCAGTTCAAATATCAAGTTGTGATACCCACAGCACCAGAGGAACACTGTGTACTGACCTGTTATGAAATAGTACAGGGACCTTGTGCGTAATAATTTACTACATTACTATGTCTTTAAGTGGTATTATTAGATAAATAAAATATCATTCTAGAAGTATTTTCAGTGTTGTTTACTTATCGTCGTATCAACTTAGTGTTGCATGCACCTAATGGTGTGGTCACTGTTCTTGAAATAAGGTGATTAAATAAGATGATAATGCTGATTTGAACTGATGACACGTTTGGATCACTGTACTGTGGTAAACAATTTAATAGCAAATAAATAATCAAGGCTCACAACACATGTTGTTTATTATCATTTACATGGAAACAAGTTTAATAGTTACTTATGCAGCTGAGGAATCCACATACTGACACGTTCTAGTCGAGATGACTTGCTATCTTGGGCACATGACATTTTTACCACCATCCACAGATAAAGTAGCACCAGTTATAAACGAGGAATCATCAGATGCCAGAAAACTTATGCATTTGGCCACTTCATCCACTGTCCCAGGTCGTCCTAAGGCATGGCTGGATTTGGTATCATGAAGCAACTGAAAAAAGAAGCTTACACGATGAATTTAAGTTTTCTGTACAAAATTTTAAACAGTACAAAATATTAAAGGCAGGGAAAGGGTAATAAGTTAAGCCCCCTTTACACTGGATGGCGTCCTTTCTGCGTCCAGCAGTACGGCCCCATTTGAGAGTTAAAAAATTATAATACTTTACGTGCCGACAACTGGCCGATCATTGAGCATTCATTCTGATACAAAATCAATGTTCGTGCCTCCTTATTATGACCACAGCAATGCCAAATTTCATGGTCGCAGAAAGGACGCAGAAAGGACGCCGTCCAGTGTCAAGGGGGTATTACTCAAGAATTGAAGTTAATAAATTGTGCCTAGCTCTTATGCAAATTAAAATGTTAAATATGATGTGTGAATATTCATGGAGCATCAAAACTGTTCATAGAGACATCTTTAATGATGTCCTTGGAACTGCATCTAATTTTTTTAAATTTCATAATAACTAGTCATTTTATTATACAAAATTACCTGTGAAAACTGTTCTTCGCTCATTCCTGCGCTTCTGTGAATCTCTGTCACAATGAGACCAGGACTGAAAATAAGAAACCTCTGTTTTACAAAGCTGTGGGAAATCTTATTACTTTAAATTTAGTTAAATGAAAGAAATAGTAAGATTAAGTTGTCTGTGTTTATTACAAGCAGAAAATAATAAATGGACTTACTTTACAGCATTTACTCGCACTTGTTTAGGTGCAAGCTCTGAAAAAATGATAAAAATGTAATCTCAGTGATATATTGAGTGCACAATAACAAGCTAATGCTAGCATGGTGTATATCTTTATGATATTGTATATAGTGGGCTTGTGGGCCGTACATTATCAGGTACTTACCCAGGGCAGCACACCTGGTGTATTGGTCTAGTGCAGCCTTGGACATACAGTAAGACGTGACCTGAGGAAACTGAAGGTAAGACACCACATTTAAACTATATAGTGACAGAAAGGGAACTGAGGTGAGAAACAATTTTTATATTTGTCATACATACATTTTTCTTCATATTTCTGTTAATTTTCTTAAAACAAAATGTGTTATCACGTCAATTAACCTTTTTTTGTCTTTGATTATAGTCAATAAAAATTACAATAGACCACAGATAGCTAGTTATGTGTGAACATTTTCTGTAGCTTGAAAATGAAAGTGATGGTTTTTCCTACTAATTGTGGTAATTATATTTTTGTCTTACTGATCTCAATCCGCCTACGCTGGATACATTCACAATACACCCTAGAAATTGAATTAAGAATCAACTTTTTATGCACAATCACGTATTAACCCTAATGTCAAACAGAACTATGCATATCTTAAGAATATCTAACTTTGAAAATTATATTTATATTTTTTGTAAAGATTAACAGTTTTTACAGTATTTCAACCATTACTCTATCCAGAAAGATATAGTAAATTTAAAAAATGATGTAAGTATAAATGTATCTAATTCTACTTTTTCATCTTCACATTTCATCTTCTATATTATATATATACTTAAACAGGTGTACTAAAGTCACTATTCTCAAAGAATATAACATGCATTTTCGGTTTATTAAATTGTATTCTAAAAGATAAGGATGATCAGTTTAGAGCATAGAAATAGATGTTCCCGCATTTCACGTATCTGAACAAATCTAGAACTGTTTAACCAGTCAACTTACCTTTAGTTTTAATAAGATTGGGTATCGCTAAATTACTCAGATATACTACCGATCTGCAGTTGATATTCATTAGGTTGTCGTAGTCTTCCATCTTGATACTCTCACAGGTGTCGTAGATCACAATACCTGCACAGTTCACCTAATCATAAAACAGAGCAATGTACTGGGAAAGATTTTTTACTTATTTCACTTCTTGTAAAATATTAACAAACTTTCCAATTAAAATATCATTCAAAACTTATTAAAATGTGCATTTAACCCAGATTAATCTAATATACGCGAGACAAGTAATTTAACCATAAATAACGTCATAACGTTTATAAATAACGCTTTTTATTTGGCAGCTTCGTTTTTTAACTTGTACATGTGTAAACCAAAAAGACGACCTTTCGGTACAACCTTGGACCTCTCTTATTATGTCCATGGTACAACCCATTCGCACTACACGCTACCACTAAGACTAGGCTAGGTCACTGCCTTTATTTACCAGTACGTCCAGCTGTCCAAAATAATCAATTGTTTTCTCCACCAGCTCTCTCATTGTTGCATTATCAGTAACACCTCCTCCGACTATCTGGATCTGAAAACAAAAAAAGTTATATTTTTACTTTTCCACTTCCATTTGTGGAACCCGCAATATGATAAATAAAAAGTAACGTGGTAACCATGGCAATTTTTCAAAATCATTATTTTTATGTGAAAACCAGTTAAAACACATTTAAAGGTCCAAATCTCAAAATATATATTACACACATCTGCTTTCACCCAAAATGGCCTAAAATTGTGCCACATGCCATTTGCAGATGTTGAGGTTATATACAAAAGCATTTGTCAAAATTTGTATATAGCATTCAGTCCTCTGTTCTTAGTTAACATTTGCGACATTTCAGGCAATAAATGATTAAATTTCTAAGTATTGCCAGACTTCGTGGTTGAATCACTGTTATTTCTGTGTTATCAAACCTTCTCCTTAGCCAAACCCTGTTCTTCACACATCTGAGCTGTTTTCTGCAAGTTGTCCATCTTTCGTCCACTTATGGTCAGCTTACAGCCCAGGCTTGCCATGTGGATGGCTGTACCTTGACCGATACCTGAACTAGCCCCTGGAAACGGCCAAACTTTAATTTATTACAATTTGATAGCGGTTGTCGTAAATAACTTCAACAGTATAAGGGGTAAAGAGGAAATTGATGAAATGTCGAGATTGTTTGCTTTATAATTGATTGTCTATCGCCCATTGTTTGTCTTTAAACAGTGGCCATTTCTTTCCTCTATTGAAACAGGCACGATTAACAATATAGTGTACTTCTACTGATTTATGTTGGGTCAAAATGCACCAAAATTTGGTTCTAAAAGTTTAGATCAGCTTTCCCTCTGAACTTCTTTGTGTTAAATCCAATACATCACTTACTGGCTGTTTACTATTGATGTTTTTTAAATATATATATATATATAGGCTATTTTAAGTCCCTTTACGGGATTTACGGGCAGTATTCGTGCACCGTACGGGGATCACATGGCAAATGTACACGTATTCTAGTCTTTAGTTTTAAACTCTTACCTAAATATATTTAGTTTAATTTTCTTTTAACATTGTACAACTTTAACCTTTGGGTTACGATTTTACTGAATAAACTATTACTATACCAAAAACCAATTGTGATAACACCAAAATATCATTAACAGCCTTAGAAATGATATCAACATAGCCATCATCGTGATGATCCACGCAGGTTGATCTGCAGCATACGCGGTGGTCGTTTAGATGCAGTTGATCTGCACGTTTACGGGTCATGCCTGCCGACCTTGGTCGAGCGATTGGAACACAGCATGCGCGTAACACGCGCTCTTGAATGCATTTTAGGTAAGTTGCAGACAATTTTAAGTGTTTTAAGTCTTTGAAACATTTTTATATTTACCTGTGATCAGTGCGACCTTATCCTTAAGGGATGCCATTTTAGGAAGACTACAACACCACTATTAGAACTTATAGGTTCCGATACCGATAACAGTTCTGTTGACAAAGCCATGGACTACAGTGGCAATACCCTGGAGGGGTTATCAAGAAAGGATAGAATTGAACAGGTGCGAGCTCGGGTACGTACGGATAAAATTTAGTCCCAAAATATTACACGTCCCTATATTCCCGTTACCGATAGATACATAAAGGGAAAACTGAAAAAACGTCTTTTTAGANTAACACACTATCCACCCAAACTTTTTGGGCACTACTTTAAATATATATGTAGTGTAAGTGCGCCCCAAATGTACACACCTAGGTCTTTGGTTTTCTACTGTTTTTTCTTTTATGGTAAAATCTGCACAGCTGGCTCTCCATTCTTTGCTATAAAATAAATTAGTTTTATCCTTTACTTTTCCGAAGAGTCTTGATTCAAAGCCACCTCGCCGTCTCTCCTCCGTTTATGGTTTTAGTTCCTTCACCATGGATTGTTACCACTGCAGGCAGCCTGTGAACGCTTGTAAAGTTAGTTATCTTCTCTCGATCAAATAACCTGCAGTAATTCATCATTTTGCTCGGTTAAATATCAAAGAAAATACAGAAAACGAAAACTGAACTACAGGCATGGCTTGTTCATGCGCAGCAGACGATTCCGGTCTCCCTCCAGAATGGCTGCCGTTTGTTTTGATGACGTAGGCTCTAATGGGTCAACATACTACTCAGTACATAAAATGCACTGTTTAAAACGAGAGTACACATATTAATCCTTTCAGCAATTTATTATTCTACTATAGATCGTTTTTACGCAATACTCGGGTAATTTACATTAGGCCTACTAATGCATTAGGGGGCCTATCTGACAGAAATTTATGATTTCACTAGATGTTTTGTTATTTTCATGTTAGACCCCATTCCCAGAGATTAGATCAATCCAAACTAGATCGACCTAACTTCCTGGGGGTTCATGCTAAGTAGCTGTCAGCCGAGCGGGCACGAAGGTTAATTACCCCCTTACAGCTTGTAGTAGGCAGGACGGACATTTAAGCCGGATTATCTGACAGTAATCTAGTGAGACTCCCCATGGGGATAGATCGATCTAAAATCTATGGGAATGCACCCTTACATTCATTTAGTTTTGATTACGAAGGCTTCTGACAGGAACCTAAGATTATAGATATGGCAACCCCTAGGTGTTTCTGTGGATTAATTACTATTGATAGAAGATTCTATAAACGTCTTGAATTCAACTGTCATCATACTGAATTCTACAATGTTTCTATCTACTGAATTTAAGGATGTTCTACCAAATTATAGAATATTCTCATAAGATCTTCTGACCAGCACAACACGGATGATGATGCCATAATTAGCAGAGATGATGTTGATGATGATGATGATGAACACATAAAGATGTTTTACCATCATTATGCTAGTTTAAACCCCAAACCCAATAATATGAATTTCAATTGACAGTTTTTAGTAATTTTACATATCAGTTGTTCATCAGTGATACATAACTATGCAGTATGCATCAGACGGGATTATCAATTTCTATTTAATGGCTTTCTATTGAAGAATAAAACCTTCTGTACTTGATGTTCATCACAAAATGTACGCCCGTTACGCAAAAATGTGTACCTCTGTTCTAATATTTACATAAAATTAAAACATGGTAAAACATTATTTTTTGTACCATTATTGAGAGGAGTGAAAGTGTGCTTTGCAAAAAATCAGCTTTTTTTAATAACTTTTTTTAGTAAAATAACTAAAAAAAATGTATTTTCTGTAACAGATGTACATTGACCTCCACACCAAAAGCTCATCAAATTTCTTATAAACGTCAAGAGCTTTATCAATTTTTTTCTTTTCTGTTGGATTTTAGACATGTGCCAATTGTTGATGTATACTACAAAATTTTGTTAATGTATTTTAAGATGAAAATTTTCACAATTTAAATTTGTTAACTGGATTATGAAAAATAAGCTATAAAAAGGACCACATTTGACAGAGTTTTTCTTAACTAAAATCAAAAGATATTCTAAAAACTCCAGTAGTTCCAAAAACTTCAACTGTTCTTCTTTTAAATGACACCCTTTGTTAGATTCTAGACCAATTTTGAAAATTTTATGTTGAGGTTGACCATTTGCAGGAAATGCCCATGCACGGGTTTTCTAGACACGTTAAAATGAGAAGTGGTAGACACAAAACAAAAAGAGAGATTAAGGACGACGTAGGTGTCAAAATGCATTAAGCAGCACTAAATTCATCTTCAATAACAACTTTTAGAACTTGAATTGAATGAGATTAAAATTCACAAAATGGTCGAGGACTGCGGGCAAAAGGCGTAGAATGTTGACCTATCCAAAGAAAAATGTACGTAATATTACTTGGCAAAGTATAGTGTATACATCAAAATATAATGCTAATTAGAAAAAATATTTTGGGTTTCTGTAGAAAATTTAACCGAATGTTTAAAGTGTAATTATTTTATTGCTGGTAAAACATTATACCTTTTGTACATGTACGTACGTGCTCTAAATGTCAAGAATACAAAAAAACTAACCCAAGATATCAACCTCTTATGTGTAACAATTTTTTCTTTGACAGGAAAGTGCTCTCCTGCATGTACCAGTAGCATCACTTCTTGAACATAGTTTATCCTTGGACATTGAGCTGAATATCTTAGTAAATCCTCCCAAATTTCTGCCTCTCTTTTTTCTTTTCATATAAATTTTACTTTTAAACTAAGTTCAAGTGATTGTCACTAACACAAGTTGTGTTAGTTGCATCTCACAGGTATTCTTTCATAGCAGTCTGCATAGCTGATATGAGGTGACTCCATCACCTGATTAAAAACAGCATACTTCGATTGAAGTCCCCCCCTCCCAATTCCTAAAAAAATTAATAAATAGCATTTAAATTGCAATTTTATCCTTGTCTAATCATCTCACTTTTTTTGCTTCTACTTTTTTGTCTGTATTGTCTGATGCCTTTCTTTTCAGTCCTTTCATTTTCCTTGTTTGTAATTTATCCAAATCTTGTTTCTCCATATGAATACGGCCAAGTTTACTACCAAATGGATCTCTGTTAATATTTTTGACTTTCTTGGGCTGAAAATATAAGAAAAAAGACATGTTAAACATACCTGCCCATTCTAAGGGTGCATTCAGAACAGATGATCTACAGACGTATCTGCTAACTAAATATGGCAGATCTTACTTAAAGCAAGCCACTTAATCTCCAATTANTAAAAAATCAATCAGACGGTAAAAGACACCGGCAAGCTTTGTCTATTTCACCAACTTGTTTATTTCAAACAGCGTTGCGCGCAAAGGTTTGTGGGTAATATGAGGGTCCAACTTGCCCCGAGTAAAGGGGGCCAACTAGCCCCGGGTGCACATTATTTATTTTAAAGGATGGTAGCCATTTATGGTGCTAGAATGAGCAACGATGATACATCTCTGTGAAACTTGAAACAATGAGCTTCAGTTTGATGCCCTAAACATATCTTATATTCGATCAATAGCCTATGAAAATAGATTTTTAAATCTCTTAAACAAAATTACTTTTAGGTGCAAAAATCGTTTATTTCGACTCACGTACCGCTTAAGTAAAACTTTTTAACGGCCGACACTTCCTTAGCATTGTAGGCTACGGTCACTTTACAAGAGTATGTGGCCAATTTTTTTACCTCGTAGTTACTTTTTCATAAATTGACGGGGGGCCAACTTACCCCGGGGTCCAACTAGCCCCGGTCTCCCCTATCAATATTCATCAACCAACCATAGTGATACATGAGAGAAGCTCGTGAGTGAAATGTACAGATACTGTTTTGTGGTATATTTTCTTTTGTATTTTAATAAAATGTTTTGAAGATGAAAACATCCAAAGACGAACTGATCATTTATCCTAGACTTAGAGAAGGAAAAAAATGAAAACGTCAGAAATTGCCTTAGTAGCTTTTTTTAAAGAATAGACCTAACGTTAACTTAAGGTCAATGCATATATATATATATATATATATATATATATATATATATATATATATATATATATATATATATATATATATATATATATATATATATATATATATATATATATGCCACGGAAATCTCGCCCATAAAATTTGGGTACGTTTTTATTATTTAAGCCATCCCAAGCGAACAAAAATGTTATAATGTTTTCTTGGTAAAATCAGTCCCCTAAAGAAAAATATATTAATATAATTTAGCAGATAAACAAATAAATAAAACAAAAGGTCCAGTTTTTTATTAGTCATTTTTTTTATCTTGTATTATCTTGCGCCATCCGCAGATAAAGTGGCAGCAGTTATGAACGAGGAGTCGTCGTAAGCCAGAAAACATGCATTTGGCCACTTCATCCACTGTCCCAGGTCGTCCCAAGGCAAAGGTGGTTTTGCAATGCTTTTCAAATTGTGAGAAATAAGGCATCATATGTATGGTATGCCCAGGGCAGCACATCTGGTGTATTGGTTTAATGCAGCCTTGGACATACAATAAGACGTGACATGAGGAAACTGATTTCATGACAAAGTTTACAAGCTCTCTTTTACAGGTTAGATATGCCATTTTGGGGTGAACCTGGACATATTGCAACAGAATTATCTTTTTCACTATACATTTTATTGAGGTCCCCAAAGTACTACAGGAAAAGTTACGCAAAATCCCTGCATGGGAAAAAATTAAAAATCAAAAATGGCCCACAATTACCATAGGTAATTCTCAATGTATTGGGGATTTTTTAAAAACTTTTTTTCACTTCTTGTAAAATACAGTATCATTCAAAACCTCTTATTTACATGAAACAAGTATTTAAACCATATATAACGTCTTATATAGGAGTCAAATTAACTCCATGAGGGTCAAGGGGTGCTGGACTCTGACAAGAGAGTCAAATGACTCCCATTTTATTCTCAGTGCACGGAAAGGTCCGCACAGTATTATAGAGTTATGCCCAGACTGATGTACCTTCACAGGCCACTCCCAATG